TACGTGTTCCATCATGATTGACAATATCTTACTTGACAACAATACATTTATCCCTTTTTAAAAATATTTTTTATATTAAAGACTCGAATTTTGACAACACGTGGTTGTCAGTTAAAGTTATCAACCATGTTTGTACAACTAACCTTATTGATCAATAAATACACGTCATTTGTCTATCCCGAGGAAAAGAGCATGTCAAGCGTAATCAAAATATAAATCAATAGAACTTATAGCCCCTATTCGATGACCGTCATTTGAGAAAAACAATGTTTTGAATAGCAATATTAAGAAGAATGTGTGATTAAAAAAGCGAAAAAAAATTAGTTTACGTATAGAATAATTTATTGTGTTAGTATATGGTTGAAAATGAATATGTTAACAAAAGAGTTTTCAAATAATAATTGTCAAACAGGGACATGATAAGGCTCGCAATAGACGTCCCAAAAACATACCTGAAAATAAAATTAGGATAACGACCAGTGTAGGAGAGATGACATTAACTCTAGTCTCTAGATGCCAAAAAATTTGTCAACTTGTAACCCTCAAAATGGATATGAGTAGCCGTGTACGTTTGAGAGATCCTACTTATGGCCTGCTTGGGAGTTTCGTCGTATTGGTTATGAGTATTTTTTAAAATATCGATTTTGAATATCATGAGCGAATCGATTTTGAGTGATTTGAGTAGTAGTTTTTAAAACTGTCCAACCTATATTTGGAAGTTTATTATCCATCGTTTCTGAACATTTTACAAAAGAATAAAATTAAACATATTTCCCTTCGTAAAATTTTCAGTTTATAGTTTCTTTTATGAAGTTTTTTTTACTCATAAGTGATTTTTTACATATAGGTAATCTTTTTATGTATAAGTTAATATTTTCTTAAAATTTTAAATAAAGTTATTATTTAATTAAATTTTTAAATTAATATTTTTTTACTTATAAGTAAATTGTACAATTATAAGTTAATTTTATACTTTTAAATAATTCTAGGTGATTTTTTTACTTATAAATAACTTTTTATATTTTAAAAATGATTTTTTTATCTTATTAGTAGTATTTTGATTTTATATATAATTTTTTTTACATAAAAGTGATTTTTTATTTATAATAATTTTTCTTATCTTACAAATATTATAATTTTAACATAATTTTTATAAACAATTTTAGTTAATTATTTTATAGAGAATAAAATTAGAAGAGAATATGAGAAACGACCAAAACCCATCAATTTTGTGAGTCAAGAGAATCGATCAAAATTACACCATATCGACTTAGGGTTATTTTTAAACCATCTAAAATTGCTTCCCATAAAAATAGTAAGCATCCATTTTTTCAACCCCTCATAAATGGTATTGTCCAATACAGGTGAAGAATATATATAAAAATAAATAAATTAAAAAAAAATCGTTCATAGGCTAGAGTCATTTCATGTGAGAGGATTGTACCTTGTACAGTCCAATGTGGATTGGTCAAGGAGAAAAACCCAAACATGTATCCCAAAATGGACACCACTTCGAAGGAACAGTTTGGGATAGGAAATGGATTATAGCCACCAAATTAGTAACTTCAGTCGTAAGCCATGCGTAGGTAATAGCAGGGATATAGGCAGCAAGCTCAGCATCTGCGTTTGGACCTTTTCTACGCAGTTTAGGTGAATGACGAAGAAAGCCTCATTCTCGAAGACCCAGTCATTAGTGAGATACCATCTTAAATATGCTAGAATTCTAACCTTGTTCCTTTTGAGAAATTAGCCAATTAGTCCTCCACCTTTAGTCCAGGAGTCATACTCAATCTTTAAAATGATTTTCCAATCTCCAACCTTTAGGGCCTGTTTGATTTGAGAAATTTTTTGTGGATTCTATTTTTCACATTTTTCCTTGTTTGATTGCAAGAATTTTCTTGACAATTGATTTTCCATCCACCCTCCCATGTGACCCATTTTTCCCTAGTTTTGTGGAATTTCAATTTTCCATGGGTTTGGTGAGAAATTAGTTTTCCAGCCCTTTCTTTTTTTTCTTGCAATGAAAACAAATTTCATTCACAATTGCAACAAATTATATCCCTTTAATGAACAATTTTCATGGAAAGCAAAGCCCCACGAAAACTAAAAGATCCAAAATTTCAATATTTTTGCATATGAAAAATCAATCAAACAAATTTAATTGACAGTTCTCTATAAAACAAGTTTTTGACAATTCAATTCCCTGAAATTCGTTTTCTTTCCACCCAAGTTCCTCTATTACAATCAAATGAATCCTTAGTTCAATTTGCATATATATCTTTTTAAATAAATTTGTTAATTTACTTGTATGATACTAAGCGTACATTAGGCTAAAGAGGGATGGATACTGCATTATGTACAAGTAAAATATTCCAATTTACTTACGTTCTAGAAAGAAAAAGTTGGCAAACACACTATGCTTAACATCAGCGGCGGACCCAAGATTATAATTCAACGAGGGCAAGACAAAATTATGTAAAAAATGATTGGGTTTGTGTTAAAAATTATAGGCTAATATTATGTAGACTTTTTTTCAATATTAAAAATTAAGGGTCAAGTTGGTGCAATTGTTTCCACAGGACCCTTAATGGTTTCGCCCCAGCTTAACATCTAGATCTTAAAGTTTCCTTCATTTTCAATTTCAAAATCTATAAAAAAAAAAATAATAATAAAAATAAAAATAAAAATAAAAATTCTTTTTTGACGTAAATCTCTTAGAAACATGGTTGATCTTTTTAATTGTTAAGAGACGCCGCTCTATCATGTTGAAATTTTATAGTGTTTGTACAAGTTACACATATACAAAGAAATGGGTATTTTTTTGCCCCATTTTTATTACATGTGGCCCACCCCCCATTGTGAGTTACTTGTACAAATCATGTAAAATTCAACCTGAAAAAGTAGCAAAATTCTTAATTGTTTTACTTAACTCGAACGTCAATATGTTTTTCTTTAGTTACTTTTTAGAAATGGATTTTTAAAATTTTGATTACATTTAGAAAATAACAAAGCTTTTTAATAAAATAAGTATTTTTATTATTTTCTTCAAATGTCACTGTCTACTAACTATCATAGCTCATCGACCACCATACGTACTACAGGCCACCTTAGTCAAACTCAGTGTTGCTGCCACTATAACACCGTTTAACTATTACAGTGCCACAAACTAAAAAAACTTAGCCCCGCTTATCTTCCATTAAATTCAAAATAAAAAAAAAAATAGTTCTTAAATTCATTTTCAACCACATATTATTACAATAAAATATTTTGTTGATACATCTAAAAAAGATTTCTACTTTTTAATCATATATCCTTCAAAAATCACTATTATAAAACTTCTTTTTTTTTTAAAAAAAAAAAAGGGAAAAAAACTCTATTGAATAAAAGACATACATTGGTTAATGGGACATCAATGACGATCTTGCTCTTATCTTATTTGCGTATTCATTACGAGCAATACTACGTGTACATAACTATTTACACACGATTTTACACTCCCCTCACATGGAAGGAGTCCACACACAATAAAATATATGTGACATCCCTTCATGTGAATGAGTGTACGACTGTGTGTAAGTGTACACATAACATTACTCATTACAGTAACTTGGTGCATATGCCTATGCCTATGCATAGAGTATATACGTGGGTAGTCGACTTTTTCTAGGATTTGGCCTTTTATGATGCAAAATCAGGGAAGGGTGCAGCTTCATCCAAGATTCCATTACGATCAATCAGTTCTAAATCAGAACCTCCACTGTACACAGTGCAGAAAAAAGGGGGATTCTTTAATGTGATAGTTGCCATTCGTCAACCTGATGATGTTACCACAAAATGTTGATTTTCCGCGAAAATGATCTCAATTTTATGGAGTGAATATTATATATTATTACACAATTTAGTCACTAGTTTCTGGAATAAAAATAAAATGGTTATAAAATATTTTCCAATTATAATATATATGTTTCAAAATTATAAAAAAGGAAAGCACAAGCAAACCCGGCTGGACTCCCAAAAAAAAAAAAAAAAAAAAAATTCATGTTGGAAAATTTTAATTTGTGTATATGGTTAATTTAAAGTTAAACCCAAAATTAAAATGATCTAATAAAGAATTAAATTATTGAGTTTTAATACTTATGGATATATATAAGATTATTGTCTTCAATTCATATGTAATTTCTCATTATTTGTGTCATTTCATCAACACAAGAATACAAGAAAAAATATATTAAAGGGGGAGATGCAATACTCATAATCAAGAATCAAGATGAATGAATTCAATGAAGTGATTTGTGGATGCTCTTACCGTATTGAATTAAGAGATGGAATTGAAAAAAGATGGGGTAAGGGAATTTATTAAGGTAGATTACAATGTTCTATTTTAACAAAGTTCCTTGATGATGTATTGAGGAAGTATAAAAAATTTTGGTGTGTTTGAACCTCATTTTTATCGAAATTGTATTTTGTAATAGTAATTTTCTTGAAAAACATGTTGTTGAAAAATAGGAAAAATTTTGAATTTATATATAAAATCATTTTATTGAGAGAATTTACGATTGAAAACAAGTTCGAAGTGAGTTTTTGAAAAATGGAGATAGAACGTGAGCTTAAATAACATTTCTTCTATAAATATATTTTTGTGATAACTCTAGTTTATTATTATTATTTTTTTTTTAACCCTTTTCTCTTACTTTTAAGTTTAAAATTTTTCTTAAAAGTAATCTTATGTTTATGACAAAATAAATATCTTACAGCTTAAACCGTTAATAAAAAAGTTATTTATTTTATAACTTACTTATTTACTTATAGGTAGATTTATTAATTTAATTATAAATATATTTAGCTATGTTCTAATGACCTATCTTTAAAAAGACACCCTACAAATCTATATACTGATGAGTGTCTATTTCATACAGAGTGTGAGACAGGATATCACTCAGCAAAATGAAATGCTGATCTTGGCATTAAATGCAAATCTCTTTCAAGTATTGAGAACTTCGAACATAGAATTCAAAAGGATCAATAAGAAACAGTGTTTAAAGACAACAGCATCACAAATATCGAGCATGGTGCTCTACAAAAATTTAGATTTTGAAATTATGAATCGAGAAACTCATAATATTTTACACGTTATACACGAATACTAAGGAATTAGTTCTCTCGAACATATGGAAAAAATGCATCTTAGAAAAACTGGCAGTATCTTCGAGCCAACGAACGTCAAGAATCCACGAGGCGGGGATCCAGGCCTAACTGTTTCCTTACTTTGCCAACAAATAAATCTTTGGATTTGATTAATCCAGGAACAAGTCCACTAATTGTTGTTAATGGAAACTGTGCTACTGCGTCGTGCCTCCCCAAAGAAACAAACACCTTTATTGAACGAGGCTTGTGACCTGCCATTTTGCTTTCTTTTCCTCTTGCCATTAACAGTTTCAAGTTTTTTGCTGCTATTAAAGCATGTTTCTGAGCCAGATACCCTTGCTTAATTTCCTGAAATAAAACACGGAATTATCTAGATCATGATTTCAAGGCTTATGAAGAATTTTTATATAATTTAGTACTCACCTTGACATCAGTGATATCTCCTATGGCGAATATGTTTTTGTACCCTTTGACTCTAAGGTTCTCATCGACCTTTAACCGTCCAAAATCATCGATGCTGTTGTTCAAAAAGCTTTCCTTTAACCATGCTGAAGCCAGCGGTTTTCCCGTGCACATAAAAAGACAGTCTGCTTTGATCACTTCTCCAGATGACGTTACGTATGTCTTGCTTCCTCGTGAACTATTGTTCAACTCGACTGATTGTCTCAATTTCACCTCCACATTTTTCGACTTTAGCCATTCTAAAGTTTTGTCAGCCGCTTTCGGTCCAATGAATTCCAGCAACCTAGAACCATCGTGCACCAGAACAACCCTTTTGTCTGGATAATCAACAGCAATTTCTGCAGATAGTTCAACACCAGTTGGTCCACCTCCAACAATCAAAACTGAACTAGCAGCTTCTATCTTTTCATTTTCTGTCATTACGGAGAGAAAATTTTAGTTCATCACTACAATAAAAATTGGTTTTTGCAACAGGCGGAATGCATTGCCATAGGGATTAAGCAACGTGCACATGTACGTTGCACCCTCGTAGTTGTCGTAAAGTAGATGAATATGGCTACAGTTAACGTAAGTTGCTAAAGAATGAAAGCGCGTTGTCATTAAACGTGAATTTGTGCCTTTACGGCTTTACTTTTCAAGAACGTTCATTTGCACGTTGCCTTTACTTTTCAACATGCTTGCTCAAAGAAAAAATCTAATGTCCAGTCAGAAGAAACGCTAAAAACTAAAAATCATCTGTCCAAGTTTTTCTTCTCTACCTTTTTCCTTTTTTATTTCGTATGTGGCAAATTGGCAATATGCAGTGATAGATACACCAGAACATCTTGATTTCTCGATCATCAAAGAGAACTAGACTAATTATACTTTGGCAACTATATATTCATCAAATAGCCATTGAAGTTGAGAAACATGGTAAGCTTGATCACTGAGGTAGCATCTAAAACTAGTTTGATCCATTTTTAAAGCCTTTCAAATTTCAAGTATGACATTGAAGAACTTATGTTGCAAATTGAAAGACGCGACTCAACAGAATCCAAGCAAACCAGCTAAACACACTCGGCTGGATATAATAAACAAAGTAAAAGGAAGAGTTTCAACTAGATATAGGGATACCTGCATAGTACTCTTTTAGTCTCTCAGTTCTGGTTTTAGGGAAGGTATCATTGTGACCGGTGGCAATGACAAGGTAGTCGTAGGCAACCTGATGACCCTCTTCAGTCAAAACTTCAGATTTAGAGATGTTTATGACCTTTGATACAAGGAGACGTCCATTTGTAAGGTAATCTTTGTGGTAGATCACCGATCTGGCTGCAAAAGAAGGCTCCACCATCGCTCTCAAGCTTGCCCATGGGATCTCAAAATACTCCTTCCTAATTATAGGTACACTGTGCTAATAAGAAGAAAGGTGCAAAAAGTACAATAGTCCATGTAGTCATTTTACACATTGGACAGCATAATTTGAGTTACTTCAATTAGGACATGCTCGTTAACCAATTGAAAGAAGTCATTGCGACAAACTACATAATCTTTCATTCTTAAGATGCGAATCTTTATGTACATCTTCATTCCCTTCTCTGTCTCCACATAAATAAACAGAATACTTTGCAATTCGGTGAGTATGTCAATTAATTAAGCCATCAGATAAACTCAATAACAGATAGCTGTACATATGATCCTAAATCCATTTCAGTTTGCTACATTACCAAGGAAACGACATAGGAATAAGTTGAGAAGCTGCGAAATGCCAGACTAAGGGTTCGTTTGGCTGACAAATCACTTCCAAAAAATTATCCAAATACTATGTAAAGTAGTTTCTTAGTGTAAGAAGCATCTTATGATTTTTCAAACACAGTGCCAAATGGCTCTAATACTAATAAATGAAAAATTCTCGCTCTTTTTACACCCACAACCCGAAATCTATGTGTAGTCAGCAATTTGCCAGAATCGTGGTGGAGTCGGTTTCCAATTAATGAGGTCAGTTTCCCTCTATTGCAAGTCAATCTTGGAAAGAAATATTGAAGCAGAGAACAAACTGAGTCATCTTGAATTAAGGCCAATTCTTAATTTAGGTTCGAATTGCACCAGAAAACAAATATATCAACGATCATTTTAAAGAGAGAACAAAAAGGGCAGTCAACTTGTAAACAAGGCAAAAAGGAGAAGGAGAAGTGATAAGAGATTACGGATCAATAAGGGTTACATCTGCAAGAAATTGAAGAGACTTAGCAATGAGGGAGCCTGCAACTCCTCCGCCGATCACCACTACCCGCTTCCCTACTCCGCTCACCTCCGATGGCCTCTCCATTTATCCCACCACTGCTTTTTGTCAACTATATCCTGTAACAGCTAAATGAAATATACAAATAGAGGAAATTATAAGTTTATAGCATATCTATGAATATTATATAACTTACAGGAGAAGGAAGAACAATCATAATTATGGATTTGGTCCTAATAAGAATCTACGCGGAAGGAGGAATTGGGTTTGGTGTTTTACTTGGTCTTTATGGCATTTCATTTTGATTCGGACATTTTTCGAGTTCGATGATCCAACATTGTCAACATTGGGCCCTACCATTCGATATTATCATAGGGTAGGCCCCACCTTGATCAGATAATTTTCCCAAACGTAAAACATACTGGTTGACTTGGGTCAAAAGTTAAAATCAATTGCAAATTTGGCGCGTAAGCGCAAAGGTGGGGTTAAAGTTAGCCTCTTTATGAAATAATTAGCACGTTTGGTTTGTGTTTTAATTTTGAATTTTAAGTTTTGAGCTCATTTTTAATTTCCTATATTGACAATCTATTTTAAGAATACTGAACATACATTGAATTTGTTATTTTGAAAAATTATTTTTCAAAACACAAAACTAGAAAACATGCTGTGATTATGTTGTTTAAAATCAACAACAATAAATAATAATAATAATAAAAAAGGGTCCATCCAAGGACCGCATGGTACATAATTTTTGACTGTTGCAAATTTGAATTTGATGACTTTTCACTTGATTTTTTTGGCACCATTTCGTACTTCTGATCGATGGCTATATATTGGAGAGCCATGTTTGAAGGAAAGAAGTAAGAAAAACATCTTGTAATCCATATTTTGTTCCAAGAAAAATCAAATCCCAATTTATATTCATATCACGTAAAACATACTGGTTGACTTGGGTCAAAAGTTAAAATCAATTGCAAATTTGGCGCGTAAGCGCAAAGGTGGGGTTAAAGTTAGCCTCTTTATGAAATAATTAGCACATGTTTGGTTTGTGTTTTAATTTTGAATTTTAAGTTTTGAGCTCATTTTTAATTTCCTATATTGACAATCTATTTTAAGAATACTGAACATACATTGAATTTGTTATTTTGAAAAATTATTTTTCAAAACACAAAACTAGAAAACATGCTGTGATTATGTTGTTTAAAATCAACAACAATAAATAATAATAATAATAAAAAAGGGTCCATCCAAGGACCGCATGGTACATAATTTTTGACTGTTGCAAATTTGAATTTGATGACTTTTCACTTGATTTTTTTGGCACCATTTCGTACTTCTGATCGATGGCTATATATTGGAGAGCCATGTTTGAAGGAAAGAAGTAAGAAAAACATCTTGTAATCCATATTTTGTTCCAAGAAAAATCAAATCCCAATTTATATTCATATCCTCGTGTTCTTCAAGTTTTGAAGAATTTCATTTTGTGCTTTGGTGAAGTTCTTTACAAGACTTGTTATAATCCTTCAAACTATTTGCCGGAATAAATTTTAGCATCTCGAATACATCGGAGAAGGGGCAAATAACGTTTGAGGACAGCAATCCCGCGTTCGAGCATTCACATTTGTTGATATAAATTTTGTTTTGATCCGTCTTGTTGCCATATTTTCTTGTGATTTTCTCTTTTGTTTCTTCTCCATCTCTCAATTATTTCAAACAATCTCAAACGTTAGTTTCTTGCAATGGAGAACGAGACTACAAGGGCAACTATCAAACTTATGAATCAAGACTTGGTGCCGTTTGATCGGTTCGATGATACAAACTTCACGCGGTGGCAAGACAAGTTGAAATTTCTACTTACTGCATTGAAGATCTTCTATATTTTTGATCCAGAATTGGCTCCACTACCGAAACCTACAAATGGAGAGACCGAGGCAGTTAAGGCTGAAAGACAGAAACGACAAGAAGATGAATTGATAGGCCGCGGTCACATACTAAATGCTTTGTCGAACCGTTTATATGACTTATACACAAACACAACTTCTACAAATGAAATCAGGGAAACATTGGAGAATAAGTACAAAGCGAAAGAGAAAGGTACCAAGAAGTTTCTAATTTCTAAATACTTTGACTTTAAATTCCTTGATAATATCCCTCTTCTTCCCCAAGTACACGAATTGCAAGTCACTGTCAACAAACTAAAAGCGGTAAAGATTGAAATCCCGAAGACCTTTCAAGTGGGAGCCATAATTGCTAAACTCCCAGGGGCTTGGAAAGGATACCGGAAGAAGATCATGCATAGTTCTGAAAATTATTCCTTGGAACAATTACAAATGCATCTTCAGATCGAGAAAGAATCCAGATTGCATAACAAGAGTAAAAACTCCTTTGAGGGAACTTCCAAAGCTAATGCTGTTGAAAAATCTGAACCGCCAACAAAATTCAACAAGAGGAAGCTTTCGAGGAACTTTAACAAGTCCAAGAAGAAGACCAAAGGAGAGTGTTCTGTGTGTGAAAAATCTGGACATTATGCAAAATATTGTAGACGCCAAAAACAAAACAACTTCGAGGGCAAAGTGAACTTCATCCAAGAAGATAAAATCGTGGCCACCGTAAGCGAAATAAATGCAATCAAGGGAAAGGTTCCCGAATGGTGGTATGATACTTGTGCTACTGTACATGTATCACATGACAAAACTGTATTCAAAACATATCATGAGGTGGATGGAGACCAAGAGATTCAAATGGGCAACGAAGTTCGATCCAAGGTCATTGGAAAGGGAAATGTTGATATCATCTTTACTTCCGGGAAAATCGTTACCCTTACCAATGTACTACATGTTCCAGATATGAATAGGAACTTGGTAAGTGATAATCTCTTAGGAAAATCGGGTATCAAATGTGTGTATGAATCCGGTGAACTTGTACTCTCCCTTAATGGAAAATTTGTTGAAAAATGCTATTCTAGTGAAGGAATGATCAAACTTTGTACCGTTGACAAGGAAATGAATAAAACTAATTTCACTTATGTTATTGATCTATTTTCTTTATGACATGCTAGATTAGGACATATTGGTAAAAGTATTATGAAACGTATAAAAAAATATGATTTGATTTCATATGATGAAAATAATGAACATAAAATGCAATTGTTGAAAATAATTGAGAGATGGAGAAGAATCAAAAGAGAAAATCATAAGAAAATATGGCAACAAGATGGATCAAAACAAAATTTATATCAACAAATGTGAAGGCTCGAACGCGGGATCGCTGTCCTCAAACGTTATTTTCCCCTTCTCCGATGTATTTGAGATGCTAAAAGGTATTCCAGCAAATGGTTTGAAAGATTATAACAAGCCTTGTAAAGAATTTCACCAAAGTACAAGATGAAATTCTTCAAAACTTGAAGAACACGAGGGTAAGAATATAAATTGGGATTTGATTTTTCTTGGAACAAAGTATAGATTGCAAGATGTTTTTCTTACTTTTTTCCCTCAAACATGACTCTTCAATATATAGCCATCGACCAGAAGTACGAAATGGTGCCAAAAAATCAAGTGAAAAGTCACCAAGTTCAAATTTGTAACGGTAAAAAAGGTCAAAAATTATGTATCATGCGACCGCATGGTTCAACCATGCCGATACCGAGACCATTTGGTCTCGGCCTATGACATGCGTCGCATGGACCCTTTTTATTATTATTATTTATTGTTGTTGGTTTTGAACAATATAATCACAGCAATCCCCCACTTGTTCAAAATTAACAAGTCTCATATTTATAGTATACGATATTCATACATAAGGATTAGATTCTTTCAATTTGAATCTAACTATAATATAATTCAAACAAAGTATAGTTAGAATCAAAGGTAGCGTGTAGCTTTGAATCAGTTATTCCATATGATAATACTGATAAAAACACACACATGAGTACCACGTGTTTTCAAGTTCCTCATAACTCGCTTAACGCTTTTATAGCCTTGTGCTCATCCTTTTTAACAATCTTTTAAGAGAGAAACTTCAACTCTCTATTACGGCGGCACCACCTTGAAGATTGTTTAGGAGATGTTCTTCCAGTACTTTTGTTACTTTTAGAGATACTTGTGGTTTATCACTGAACTTCATTAAGAGCTTAAAGCTCATCCCTTATTTCAGTAACAACCAACATTATTTTAATTATGATAGGATTATTGCGAATTTTAATAATGTTGTAACTATCTACATATCGAATGACTTGTTTTTACCCGTTGAACCCGTAAATTACCTTTTAAGTAATGACAGACAGGATTGCTGTCATTGGTGAACCTTTTTAGTTAAAGAGTTTCAACCCCATCCTACTCGAAGTAGATGCTACTAAATCTCTATTTAAAGGTTTAGTCAAGGGATCCGCCAAATTCTCAATTGACCTTACATAATTTAAGAAAATTATTTCATCCTTGATTAATTTCCTTATATAGTCATGTCTAAGACTCATGTGTCTAGACTTTCCATTATATATCTCGTTATATGTTTTTGCTAATGTGGCTTGACTATCACACATGATAGGTATTGAAGAAATATTCTTCGATCTCAAAGGTATCTCATAAAAAAGATCCTTAAGCCACTCAACTTCTTTCTCGATATCCAATAGGACTACAAATTCTGATTCCATAGTCGAGTGTGTTATGCATGTTTGTTTCTTTGATTTCCAAGAAACAGCACCTCCTCCAAGATTGAAAACCTAACCCGTAGTGGATTTACTCTCACCCGTGCTAGATATCCAACTAGCGTCAGTAAATCCTTCCTATACCGCCGGGAATTTAGTATATTGCATGCCCAGGTTCTTGTTTTTCTTTAAATATCCAAGAACTCTTTTTGTGACCTTTCAATGATTATTATTTGGATTGCTAGTAAACCTGCAAGTTTACTTATGGCATAGGCTATATCCGGTCTTGTGCATTGAACTGCATACATAAGATTTTCGATTGCACTAGCATATTCCAATTAAGCAATCGCCCTTCCATCATTCTTTACAAGTTTTGAACTTGGATCAATCGGGGTACTATATTATTTTATGTTCAAGTGTTTGAACTTGTTTATCATATTCTCAATATAATGTGATTGATTTAAGTGATAACTCCCACTAGTTTTTGTGATTTTGATACCTAAAATGGTATCCATTTAACAAAGATCCTTCACCTTGAATGTGGAAGATAGAAACTTCTTTATTTCTTTTATACCGTCCATGTGATTACTTATAATCAACATGTCGTCAACATACAAGCATA